CTAAGTCATCTATTTTCTCTTATTGTCCCCCATGTCAATCGACCAAGAGTCATTGGCTTCCCTTTGGTGATTCTAGCTTAACTAGTTGTCGGCCCTTTGATTTAGTATGCTTTGATGTCTGGGGTCCTGTCCCTATTGCCTCTGTTGATGGATTTCCTACTATTTGATTTTAGTTGACCATTTTACTCGTTATTCATGGATTTATCTCCTTCATCTAAAATCCGACGTTCTCACTGTTTTCCAAGCCTTTAAACACCTAGTTGATAACTACTTTACCACCCACGGCATCACCCATCTTCTCACTTCTCCCTACACCCCAGAAAATAATGGTCTAGCCGAATGTAAGCACCGTCATGTAGTAGAAACCAGGATTACCTTGCTCCATCAAACTTCCTTACCTCTGTCCTACTGGTCCTATCTGTTTGCCACCGCAGTCTACCTAATTAATCGTCTTCCCTCGTCATCCCTTCGTGGTAGCATACCGTTCACTATTTTTTTTATGAGTCTCCCGACTACTCTAAACTTCGAGTCTTCGGCTGCCTATGTTACCTCTGGCTCTTTCCATATAGCTCCCACAAGATGATTTCGCGATGCCATCCATGTGTATTCCTTGGCTATTCTCATCAACAAAGTGCTTACAAGTGCCTTGATCCTACATCTAATCGTTAGTTCCTCTCTCTTCATGTTGTCTTTTTCGAAACCGAATTCCCCGGTGTGCCTGCCTCTCCATCTTGTCCTGAACCCCCCCGTCCGCCATATCCTGGATCGCGACAAGTCTTCCCCCGGTCACCACCATTCCGCTCGCCACTATGCCCATCTCATCACCTGTTCCTCCCCGCCAGCAGTGACCCCCTCGTCGGGTCCTTCTCGGGAGAGCTCCCCACCTCAACATGACACAGCCTTAACCTCTTCTGCTCGTCCAGCACCACCGGCTCCCTCCCACCCTATGGTTACTTGAGATAAGGATAACATCTATAAACCTAACCGCAAGTATGCACCATCTTTATCTACTGCACATGTCACTTCTCCTCTTGAGCCCAGGTCGGTCAAGGAAGCTCTTTGTTATGTGGAATGGAACGATGTTCTACGCGCTGAGTTTGATGCTTTACGTGCCAACCGCAGCTGGGATCTTGTTCCTTGACTTCCTCATTACAATGTCATTGGCAATCAGTGGCTGTATCGCATCAAACATCATCTCGATGGAAGCATTAAATGCTTCAAAACTCATCTCGTCGCCAAGGGATTTCACCAGAAGCCTGAAGTTGACTTCCACGAGACCTTCAGCCCCGTTCTCAAGCCTGTCACATTCCGCATAGTATTCACTATTTCCCTCTCTCATAACTGGCCGATCCATCAGTTCGATGTCAACAACGCATTCCTTCAGGGTCCACTTCAGGAAGAGGTTTACATGGCTCAACCTCTGAGATTTCGGGATCCCCAGTTCCCTAATCATGTGAGTGGACTGCGCCATGCTATCTATGGGCTTCGTCGAGCCCCTCGTGCGCGGTACAACGAGTTGAGCTTGTTCCTTGCAATGTGGGTTTACTAATACTCACTGCGATGCGTTGCTGTTTCTCTATCATCGACATGGAATTCTCACCTACTTCCTCATGTATGTGGACGATCTTATCCTCACCGGCAACAACTCCGAGTTTCTCTATACATTCCAGGAACAACTACCACTCGGTTTGCTCTCCTTTGTCTTGGCCAAGTGAATTATTTCCTAGGGATTGAAGTCATTCCTAATCCAATTGGTTTCACATTGTCTCAGCCCAAGTATATCTAGGATATACTTACTCGGTTCCAAATGCAGGATGCGAAACCCGCCACCACCCCCTAGCCTCCATGGCTCATCTCCTTCTTACTAACGACACTACTCCTGTTGATGGCACACTGTATCGCTAGGATCTTGGTGCCCTCCAGTATCTGGTCACTACTGCATTTACTGTAAACAAACTGTCTTAGTAGATGCACACCCCGACCTCCCTCCACTGGAAGCATGTTAAGCGCCTCTCTGTTATCTTGCCGACACTAGCTCCCTCGGCCTTCACAGTCGTCGCCAATCCACTCCACTACGTCTCCGAGCATTTTCCGACTCTGACTGGTCGGGTGATCCGAATGATCGCACCTCCACATCTGGTTTTCTTCTCTATCTTGGCGACACCTTAATTTTGTGGAAATCCAAGAAACAAAAGACGGTGTCTCATTCCAGTACTGAAGCAGAATATAGGGCCATCGCTCTTGCCACTTCTGAGGTCCGCTGGGTTTGCAACCTTCTCTCTGAGCTACAACAACCACTTCCGAATGCCCTGTTCTCTTCTTCGACAACATGGGGGCGGTCAACTTCAGCTCCAACCTCGTGTTTCACTCGCGCATAAAGCATCTTACGTTGGATTACCACTTCGTCCGTCAACTTGTCCAAGCCAAGCAACTCATCGTCCTTCATGTGCCTACAGCTTCTCAGCTTGCGGATGTTCTTACTAAGCCCCTTACCTCCACCCGCTTCCGCCTTATCTGCTCCAAGATTGGCCTTGCTAACACCGCCTACATCTTGCGGGGGCGTATTAAGGATAAGTCTTTATCCTAGTTCTAGTAGTATTGTAATTATTCTTTAATTTCCTTGTACATATTGTATTCCTATAACCTTGGCTATAAATATCCCTCTTCTATGTTAATACAACACACAACATTCATAATCCGTATAGGAGATTGTCGAGAAGAGCAAGATCCATGAGGACCCAGGTGGAGTTTTCCCCCACAATCGGTGTCCTTGAGGTTTTAGTGGAGTCGGGTACAAAAACCTAATGAGGAAACACATGTTGTCGGTTGCTAATGGTGTTCGCGCAGTAATCCTCGATGGTAATGAGAGGATTTTTGAATCGGTAATATGTGGGGAGGGGGGTTGATTAATGGCGGTGGCGCTAGGTTTGTGGTTATTATTTCCCGGAGATTAAGCTTGTCTCTATTCCCGGTTTCAGAGTGGAAAAGAGATTGGCAGGTGCGGTATCCAATAACATGTGTAAATGGCAGATCGTTGCGGATAAATTACATGAAGATCTATAGTTAGGGTTTGTCCCCAAAAAAATCAACCGCCCTCCCCACATATTACCGATAAATTAAACCTGGTTTCAATTGACAACAATGGAGAAGAAAAAATCAAAGCCAAGTTCAATGCTTTGTTTCTCGGAAAACAAAGAGGATGGTGGGTTTTGATTGATCATTAGTTTGTGAATTGGGTTTGTCCCCAAAAAAATGACTGGGATGAGCTGGATTCCAATTACATGACTGGAAGCAATGTAGTAAAATGCACATTTCTACGCAGAAGCGGAAACATGAGTAAAAACATAAAACGTAAAAGTGTAGCGTAAAAGCGTAAGTTTTTGTGTATAATCTGATTAATCTTCAAAAACTACATGTCTCATTTAAAAAGGTCACTACTCATGCAAATAATCTAATTTGACAAACTTTTAATAGTGGAGCAATTGTACAACTAAACCAACAATGCAATATGGAAATAATGATGATTCTTTATTCATAGAAAAGTATAACCAATCAACAATTAGATCTCATTATGGGCCGTTTTGTTTGAATATGGATGTCAAATTAAACAGGATTACTAAGACTTCTTTTATTATATGATTCTTCATTCATTGAATGCAAGAAATCAGATTATTCGTAAATATTATCACTTACGTCGCACATCATACAACAAAGTAAGCACTTGACGAAAATGTGGTATAACATCGTCATCGCTCTTGAAAATGTCATATGTCATACTCGCATCAAGGGGACGTCATCTCAATATTTGAGAGAGTTTTAAATTATGAAGCAATCGTTGAATTCATTAACTACAACATGAGGAAGGTATTTGATTAATTGGGTTATGGTTAAACTCATTTTAAATAAAAAAGAATGTGAAGTAAATTGAAAATTGAAGGGCTTAACTGTAACTAGTGGAAAGTTGGATGTTTTAAGTGGCAACCAAATTTTTGGTTGGGTCATTTGAATATTTGTGATTGGGGAAGAAGAGAAATAGGGAGAGATTTCTAGAGTGTGAAAGTGCAAAAATCTTCAACCTCATTCATCTCCTTCCCCTCCTCATTTTCGGTCCTTTTCTTTCCTCTTCCACTACCCATACCCTAATCACCACCAACAACAAACCATAAGGAACCAAGAAATCAAGGGAAAATAGAGTTGGGGAATTGAGAAGGATGGAAGAAGGAAAGGACGAGAGGAATAGAGGGACTGCATAATTTTCGTTTTGCTACAAAACAGTGAGTTCAATAGAGGATTTTGATAACATTTGTCGTTGGATTATCCTCAAATTTGGAGGACATGTTCCATACTTTCTTAGATCCGACCCTACCGTTGAGATCGTCATTATAATTTTGGTTCGTTGAGAAATGTTGCTGGTCAGACACGGTGCGACCTTGTTTTCCTGTAGCTAGGCAATTGGTTCCAGGGATGATTTCGGAGAAACCAACCGTTGGATCGTCCTCAACCTTTAATGAAAGGTTTAAGATTCATTTTAGGTTGATTTGACTGTAGGGATCAATATTATAATTTTTGGTTTGTTGGGAGAGAGTGTGAAATTGGTTCAAACTTCTTTACTAAGAAATGTATAAAAAAATCAGAAACGCGTTTTGACCATTTTTTGTACGTTTTTACCAATTTTTGAACACTTTTTTTAACCTTTTTACACACAATGCACTTTTATATAGAAACTGGAGTATTTTCCTAGTTAGAGACCTAAAAACGTGTGTTTTTGCATTTTATGACGCTTTTCTTACTACATTGCCTGGAACATGGATGAACGTTTTAAGAGAAATCCAAACCCAGAGAAAATTTCGAAGAAGATATCAAATAATAATTTAAATAGGGACAATGGTGGGTCAAGTCGGTAATTTTCCATCATATTTAACATTCAATTAATGAAAGTTTTGACAAAGGGTATATTTGTTACAATATGATAATAGAAGGGTATACAAGTACACAAGGGTATAAAATGCTATTATTTACTCTATTCAAAATGAACATAACTATTATTCACGAAAGTAAACACCCAGTAGTACATAAAAACATCACTACCAATATTCGTAATCCACATAATTAGTATTCTGAAAACTCTATACACAAAGGTAGTAATCAACTACCATACAAGTAGTATTCAACCCAATGGAGGATTCAGGAAACAACTACCACCTAACCAGGTATACCTAGAACACAAAAATCATTGGATTCAATTACTTCTAGTGATTCTAACTCTAAGCAAGAAGCCAAACCCATAGTAAACTAAACATTCCCTCAACTCCAAACAATTCATATTATAAAGCAGACACTTCATTTTGACTCAATCTTTAATTTTACCAGAAAAACCTCAAACTCGTATTCAGGAAACCCTAAACACCCCAAGAGAAATCTAGAAAATTCAATTGAAGGGAAAAAACCATACTGAGAAAGCGAGGGACAGAGGGAGATTCTTCATCGGTGGTAACCAATCGTTCTTCGACCGAACTAGGGAGAACTCGATGGATCGATCTTCCTTGCCAAAGCTTTCTTGGTCGACCTCTTTCTCATCGCCTCCTTCCTCGTTGTCGCCTTCCTCCTGGAAATTCATGGTCGTCGGTCGCCTACCTCTTTCCTCGTCGTTTGAAATCTTTGTGGGTGGTTTGTGGGTAAAGGAGAGAAAGAAAGAGAGGAGTGGAGGACGGTTGGAGTGGACAGTTAAGGATCTTTTTTCTCAATTTTCAAAAAAAAAAAAATCAAGTTTCAAATTTCCAACTGCCGACTCCACCAAATCCAGCCGCCCTTCCCTCGGCTCAATTCCCCTTGACATCTCCGCTCTTCTCTTTAGGCCACCCTAGGCCAGCAATTCCTGGCCACACAAATTCAGCTTGGGCAACGTGGTCCAATGAGTGCTCTTTGAGCACATGCACATTAAAAACGCTATGGGCATCATAGCAAAATTGTTCACTAACTATCTACAATCAAATTATACACCTTTAATGTATGTGTTTTCGTCTTTCTATTTGTTTCATAACAAAAAATAAGACAAAAAGCATATTATAATCATGTAGCAATTCTCTCTCGGACTTCCAACAATATGAGTCCAATTAAACCCAAACGAAAAAATTGGGTTTTGGTGTTGCCCAAATATAAAATTACTAATACTTAATTTTACTCATAATAAATTGGATTTGGACAATACCAAAATATTGCATCCTTTTTTCATTCATAAACCTGATCAACACTTCCTTTGTAATGAAATGCAATTCTTCTGGCTTATATATCAAGAAGTCTAAAATCCTTATGTTGGTGTTTAGTTGACAAATTAACCTAGAATAGATAAATGTCTCATGACATACGATTAAGGTTGTAGACGAGAATCATTAATATATATAAACTTGAAGTTGGTATACTGTTGCCTAAACTTGCAAGCTGATTGGGCAGTTGTGCATTTTACATTTTGATACCCCAAATTTAATTAAATTACAATTTAGTCACTATAATACACATTTTATATTTTGATACCCCAATTTAATTTTAATGTAAAATCATTGAACAATTATATTTTGGTATCTAAATTTTATGAGATTTTGGTACCTACAATTTTTGTAAATTTACATATTGGTTCAATGTTTAGATTTCACTTGAATCCATGAATCCAATCCACCAATTCTTTTGAATCAATCCATGAATCCAATCCACCATAACAAAAAAAAAATTAGTTTGTACCATACAAGATGCTGTATCACTCAACTGTAGGAGAAGATTCGACCATTTTATATTTGCTCATTACATGAAATATTAAATAAATGATAAAGGAGAGACGACTCTAATATATTGTAAGAGCGATTTTATAAACTTATTTAGTACATTTACGGGGTACTAAACAAATTTCTACTAACTAAATGTAACAAAATAGACGACATCTACATTAGCAAGTGTCAATAAATTGCTACGGTGAAGATTGTTGAATGTTGTATTGACGGCTAACTAAAAGAATTGGTCAAAACCTTTCCATCATCTACTTCCTCTTTATTTCATTTTTCACTCATCTTCCATAACTCTTTCTTTATTTCTTTCTTTACCTTCTTCATCTACCCCTAATTAGTATACAATTTGTATGTATTTTGTAACACCCTACCCTATACGCTTTGCCTAATCATATTGTTCATGCAATTACAGCGGAATTAATCTCGGGTGTTACATTAATTATCAAAATTTACCCAAATAAAATTTCGACATGAATTACTCGCGTAATGGGTAACAGTTCTTGCAACTTATCCTGCAAAATAATTCATCACAAACATATATACTCACAACCATATGCATTGGCTTTTCTTAGCCATAGTCACACTTTTCATACTCCACGACTGCATACCATACTTATACATACCATAATCGTCACAATTAACACAGTTACACAACATATACACATATTGTAACATCCTGAACCTTTTCCCGACAAGATACTGTCCGCTTTGGGCCTCTACACCCGCACGGATTTCGAATTGGGGTGCAATTCAAGGTGACTTCCCATAAATTCACCCATCATTGATGTACTCCACACTGAGCACGTTTAACTTCGGAGTTCTCACAAGAACTCTTCCATTACACCCCAAAACGCCTCTTGTCGGTTAAGGCCGGTTTCCTACTTATGAACCATGGATCTCTCACGTGCTTTGTCGATATGGGATTTGCCTAAGGTGTTACATATCCCCCCCCCCCTTGGGACTCAACGGCCTTGTTGAGGTTTGCCCCACCATCGTTCAAGAGGGATGCAGAGAGGCTCTGATACCACTTGTAACACCCCGAACCTTTTCCCGACAAGATACTGTCCGCTATGGGCCTCTACACCCGCACGGATTTTGACTTGGGGTGCTTTCAAGGTGACTTCTCATAAGGTTACCCATCCTTGTTGTACTCCACACTAAGCACGTTTAACTTCGGGGTTCTCACAAGAACTCATCCGTTTCACCCCAAAACGCACGGATTTTGACTTGGGGTGCAATTCAAGGTGACTTCTCATAAGGTTACCCATCCTTGTTGTACTCCACACTAAGCACTTTTAACTTCGGGGTTCTCACAAGAACTCATCCGTTTCACCCCAAAACGCACGGATTTTGACTTGGGGTGCAATTCAAGGTGACTTCTCATAAGGTTACCCATCCTTGTTGTACTCCACACTAAGCACGTTTAACTTCGGGGTTCTCATAAGAACTCATCCGTTTCACCCCAAAACGCGTCTTGTCAATTAAGGTCGGTTTCCTACATATGAACCATGGATCTCTCCCGTGCTTTGTCGATGTGGGATTCGCCTAAGGTGTTACATACAACCCCCCCCCCCTCGGGACTCAACGTCCTCGTTGAGGTTTGCCCCACCATCGTTCAAGAGGGACGCGGAGAGGCTCTGATACCACTTGTAACATCCCGAACCTTTTCCCGACAAGATACTGTCCGCTTTGGGCCTCTACACCCGCACGGATTTCGACTTGGGGTGCAATTTAAGGTGACTTCCCATAAGGTCACCCTTCCTTGATGTACTCCACAGTGAGCACGTTTAACTTCGGAGTTCTCACAAGAACTCTTCCATTACACCCCAAAACGCGTCTTGTCAGTTAAGGCCGGTTTCCTACTTATGAACCATGGATCTCTCCCGTGCTTTGTCGATGTGGGATTTGCCTAAGGTGTTACATAGTTACTTAAGGGATCTTTGGGTTGCTAAGAATTGTAACATCCCGTTCCGTAAAAACCCATATTTCGATCGCTAGAAAGTTCGCGATTTAAAATCGAGCGTTTTGATAGTATTTTGGCGAAAATCTGATTATCGATCGATCGGATAAGTATACGTATTAATATTTATATATATATATATATATATATATATATATATATATATGGTGGCTTCTATTGTACCTTTGGTAAAATTTAGGGTACGACATACCCTGAGTAAAAAACGCTATCTAGATCTCTAATTAACCAGATTTTTGGGCATGATACTATACCCTAACCTATGATGAGTGAACCCTAGGTCTTAGTTTTCATAATAATAGAGCCTGACCCCTAAGATTGTGCATGTAATTTGTTGCATATATTTCGACGAATCATGACCGTCGATTTTTGTTTCTAATTAAATTGATCTTGATATATGAGATTTATAGAATTAATACCTAGATTTTAATCTTTAAGGGTTTGGGAATAGTATCGGATGTCAAACTTTCGTCAATTCGAGGTCCAGATAGTGTTTTCTTGCTCAAGGTATATCGTACCCTAGATTTTACCCAAGGTACGATAGAACCACCCATATATATATTATATAATATTTATGGCGAGTTCTACGGTACCCAGGGTGAAATCCAGGTTACCGCATACCTTGAGTAAGAAAACACTATCATCAACTTGAATTGACTGATCTTTCGGACATGATACTATACTCTAACCCTTAAAGATCAAAATCTAGGTCTTAACTCTCTAAATCTTATATGGGGCCTTCTACGATAACCCGGGTGAAATTCGGGGTACCGCTTACCTTGAGTATGAAAACGCTATCTAGACCTCGAATTAGCAGGATTTTTGGGCATGATACTATACTCTAACCCTTAATTAGTGAATCCTAGGTCATAATTATATAAATCATAAACTATAAACCCTAAGATGGTGCATTGATTTTTTTGCCTATATTTGGACGAATCATAACCGTCAATTATTTTTTCTAATTAAATTGATCTTGGGGTATAAGATTTAGAGAGTTAAGACCTAGATTTTGATCTTTAAGGGTTAGAGTATAGTATCATGTCCGAAAGATCAGTCAATTCAAGTTCATGATAGTGTTTTCTTACTCAAGGTATGCGGTAACCAGGATTTCACCCTGGGTACCGTAGAACTCCCCATTTATATATATATATATATATTAATAAGCGGCCATATATAAGTTACCCGTCCATTTCCATCCCCATCACATTCCAATTCTTCTTCTTTCTTTTCCGGCCGAGAGAAACCGAGAGCACAGGGCGCACAGGGGAGAGGGAGCAGGAAATTCTCCAAGCTCAAATTCTTGAGCCCAGTGATCCAAAAATTAGGTAAGTAATGCCTAATTCATCTATACATCGTGATTTATCGATTTAGAGCTTTAAAACGAGTTTTTGGTTCAGGAATTTCTTGAATTCCCGATAAGCTAAATTAGGGTTTCGGAGTATCCGGAAGCTGGATTGAGCCCAAATTTCATATACGAGCTTCCTGCAGCGAGGTAATCAATCCTCTAGTTCTAATCCATGAATTTCGGCTATTATTGAGATCGGAGCCGAGATCGCTGAATTTAACTCCGGTCAGGAACGGTCTCGGATTTTGATTCGGGGTTCGTTTGTGAAATTGTCGTTTTAGTACGGGAGGCTAGAACCGGTGTTGAACGACCAGAACTGGTGAGGGATTAGCACGGCATACCGGGTTGGTCGTATCACGATAATTATATTGATGCTTAGATTTGATCTAGGTGAACTAGAATGGCATGATTAAGAGTGTATGAACTTTTGTGTTATATGATGAATCATGGACTACTGTATGATATTATTGACTTGCCCTAATCGAGATGGACCTTGTTTATGCTGATGATTTCGTATAGGCTTAATTGCAAGTTTGGTCACTCGAATTGCTATAAAATTTCACGTTTGCCACTCAAATTAATTTATTCCATTTATAGTCACTCGAATTAGTTGAACAGTTCAAGTTCGGTCACTCTCCGTTAACCTCCTTTAACTTTGACTGACGTGGCGGTCAACTCTGACAGTTGACTGTTAAATGTGTGACGTGGCAAATAAAAAATAATTAAAAAATAAAAAATAATTTTCAAAAATTACACATTATTATCACAAAAAAAATTATAATTATAAAAAACGAAAAAAAAATTATCACACATTTATTTGCCACCTCCGAACCCACAACCTCACCATTCTGGAAATACAGATAAGTTTTTAGAAATTTCAAATCTTAGCTCCGCAACTAGCGGCTGCCGCCAGCTGCTCTCCTCGATTCCCCGCCTGAGAGCCGCGATCTTGCCGCCTTCGAACACGAACCTCTTGGTTCTCGTGCCGGGAGTGGCCACCGCCGCTCGAAACCTCTCCATGCATTCGCCGTGTACGGAAAGGTCCGCGGGAGGAGCTTTCCCACGAAGAGCAATTCCGAAAGTCTGGTGAGATCTCCAATGGACGATGGAAGCTCTTCCAATGCTGTGCAACTTAGATCAAGACTTGTCAGATGCGCTAGATTACCAATGCTATTAAGTAGGCGGGACAACTTGGTGTAACTTTCCAGGTTGATCATTTCCAGAGAACCAGACTCAGGGAAGTCACCAGAGATGAGAATAAGGTGCTTGTTTTGTGAAAGGTTGAGGTGCTTCAACTTCTTCATCTTCTCCAACTCCACCACCTCTTCAATCAAACTATAAGTCAAGTCTAATATTTCCATGCTTGGGATGACTTCAAATTTGGTCAACTTGGTGCAGTCGGCGCAGTCCAATTCCAGAACTGGTGAGTGAGTGATAAAACTAGGGATAATTTGAATCAGAGTGATGGTTAGGTCCACAAATTTCAGGTTGGGTAAGATGTCAGAATGACGAGTACTCAGTTCTGGGATGCCGTTTACATAATCTTCCAAGTTGTCCCACTTTAGGCTGCTGCAGCCACTCACATTGAGGGTTTCCAACTTCGAAAGATCCAACACCGAGGCAGGAAGCTCCTCTAAGCTCACACACCCAGAAAGATGCATAATCTCGAGTCTTTTCGCTGTCGAACGATCGGACGACGTCGGACATGGAGTCGGCGACGGCACGGGCGTTGACGAATTCGTCCCTGACGTGTTGCAGTCGACGGCGAAGGCGTCTCTATACCGGCCCGCAAGTGGGTAGTAGACGTTGAGGGTTTTGGCGAGGGAACCCTTGAGGCTCTCGGTAAGCAGCGAGCGCTATTGCGTAGAAGAAGAAGAAGTGTTGGGGTAGAAGAGGCAGAGCGGGACGTAGCAAGGCGGTGCGGTTTGATCGAGAATGGTGAGGTTGTGGGTTCGGAAGTGGAAATACAGATAAATGTGTTTGCCGGCCAATTCGATGAAGTTGGAAGTCCGATCTGGAAACAGAGTGGTCGGAGCGGCAGGTCAAGTTTTTGTGATAATTTTTTTTTCATTTTTTGTAATTATAATTTTTTGTGATAATGATGTGTAATTTCTAAAAATTTAATTTTTATTTTTAATTATTTTTTATTTGCCATGTCACACATTTAACGGTCAACTGTCAGAGTTGACCGCCATGTTAGTCAAAGTTAACGGAGGTTAACGGAGAGTGACCGAACTTGAACTGTTCAACTAATTCGAGTGACTTTAAATGGAATAAATTAATTTGAGTGGCAAACGTGAAATTTTATAGCAATTCGAGTGACCAAACTTGCAATTAAGCCATTTCGTATATGTTGCAAATTGTGGGCTTGACTGTTGATATGCCTTATGATGGTTCGAAAAGGTGATTGGGTATGATTTTTCATGATTGTTGTATTTGGATGCACATGTGGAAAAATATATATTCTCTGGTGATATTATGACGTTTAAGGAGGATGACTGGCACGAGGGTTTATCCCGAGGAAGTGCAATTATACGACTCCTGATTTACCTATGTTGAGTCAATTGTGGCCAGGTCAAGTACATGTGCAAGTAACGAATTATGATTAAGCAAGATGAGATATGGATCATGTATAAGAATACCAAGTAAAAGTACTTTGGTCTCATGGTCAATTACATAGTAATTAGGGCTCCCCATGCTATTACTCCGTTATGATATGTTATGTCACACCCCTGATGTGGTGTTGACCGTTGATTCATCATGAGATATGACCGCACCCAGAGTGGTGTAGAGTCTGATATGACCACACCCAAAGTGGTGTCAGGTCCGATATGACTACACCGGCAGTGGTGGGTCCGATATGACCACATCCATGAGATGTTTGGTTCGTATGCCCGGGAGAGTAATTACATGGGAGTAGCCAGGCGCCTATGATTAAAACATGATAAGATGCATATGCATAAGTCAAGGTTGTTGAGTCTTTTGCCTATTGGGATATGAGGATGGCTGAGGTCCGATCCTAGTGTTTTGGTTTGATTGCTAGAAGTATGGTAGGGGTATGCTCTGTTATGAACTCACGATGCTATGATTATCTCACTCAGCTATGAGCTTACCCTCTTTTATTCTTCTTCTCTACTTATGCTATGTGTAAGCAAATCATCAGCAGCAGCAGTAGATAAGTGTTAGGTGGGAGAGGAGCTAGAGTTGAAGCCAGGATGAGGTATGGTCTTCAACTATTCTGTGCTTGGACTACTACTCGGGATTTTGGCCAGTGATCCACACCTTTTTGTAAAAAATGTTTTGAGAACGTTTTTCATGTGCATACTAGCTTCTGTTGTAGTGTGAGATATCCACAGGTGTGGAAAATTGATGATATGTGTAACATCTTAGGAGAATCCCACATCAACAAAGCACGGGAGAGATCCATGGTTCATAAGTAGGAAACCGACCTTAACTGACAAGATGCGTTTTGGGGTGAAACGGATGAGTTCTTGTGAGAACTCCGAAGTTAAACGTGCTCAGTGTGGAGTACAACAAGGATGGGTGACCTTATGAGAATTCATCTTGAATTGCACCCCAAGACGAAATCCGTGCGGGTGTAGAGGCCCAAAGCGGACAGTATCTTGTCGGGAAAAGTTTCAGGGTGTTACATATTCTAATCACAAGTATGAACGAGTCTATACACAACTTACCAACAGTCTATTTCAAAATTGGCTCGCGTCGATTTCATCACCATTAGGGGTGTTCAAACGGTTTGGTTACCGTGGTAACCGTTTTAACCGGTACTATTTGGATAATTTGGTTTGGTTAATTTGGATAATTGGTTTGGTTTGGTTTGGTTAAAGTTTTTAGCTTGTTTGGTTTAGGTGGTTTGGTTTGGTTTCAGACACTCCTAACCAGTCAAACCAAATTAACCAGTTAAATAATTAGTCATATATCTAACATATATTATACACACAACCTTAATACTTTGCATAACCACTCGAGAGTTAACGTTCATCCCTTTTAGACTCATAAAATATAAAGCTCAATATTGCTCATATAGTGTATATTTGTATATGTAAAGTGTAGACCACAACATATGGACGCCTAATTTAGATAAATTTCATACATTATAATGGATGAAAACTTGAAAGGAAGGTCATTTCCAGCCTATGATAATTGCTAAGAGACTAACTCAATTTACACAAACACAACAATTCATTAACCCATACCATTGTCATAAATTTTTGTTAGGTGAATACTTCTATACTAATCGTAAGATAATTGTCTTAGTTGCATGTATTTTTGTTAAGGGTCAACTATAACTACGTGTTGATTGTTATGTTTTATTCATTATATAAATTGTGAATTGTTGCATTAACCGAAAAATTTTCATCGTCAATGATAATGTGATTTTATATTGGTTAATCTGGTTAACCAATTAACCAAACCGATTAAACTTTAGTTTGGTTAATTTGGATGTTGTATTAGTTTGGACGATTTGGTTATAATATTGTATTCCATGGTTAATGAAATTTAGTCTTATTTGGTTTGGTTATAATCATAGTAACCATTTGAACACCCCTAATCACCATCTCCTCTCCCCTTATGCCTCCCACCGCTGTCTGCATCTCCTCCATCCTTAATCAACCGTCGTCGGGGTTTCTGTGTAATGGCGGATGATGCCAGAATGCTGGGGAAGAAGTTCAGTGTGGAATAATAAATGGCCGCCAATTTAGTATGTTTGTATTGTATTTTTCTCTTATTTTAATTATTTTGTTAAGAAAAATTATTGTTTTTTTTTCATAAATAATATGATGTGTCAGCTGATGTGGCCGCCACGTATATGCCATGCATCCAACAATCAACATTTCAAGGATTACCGTCTGATCAATGTTATCTTTAACGGTCAAAGAAATCGTCAGGACATAAATGACACAAAAATATAATACGTTGTGACATTTTCAGTATATTAAATAGATTGGAACACAAATGACATTTTCTTGATAGTTCGAGTTTCCGAGTGGTATAGAAGGAAAAAAAATATGTAGGAATTAATGTTGGGCGCATATGGTTAAACGCAATGGCGGATACATGGTGCTTTAGGGGGTGTCCCAAACCCCTAAAATTTGGGAAAATAATTATCCAACCGCCGGTAGTAGTTTCCTATGGATAAACAAAATATAATCAGTAATCCGGGACACCCCTAAAAATTGAAAAAAATGATTATTTTACCCTCGATAGTAGTTTGTGTATGATAAAAAAAAAATATAAGTGGTAATCTGTGTTATTCAAACCTAGTACACTACTATTATTAAACATATTCTCCATTAGGTTCAAACTCATGTGTTGTTCTATTTTAAACACTATGTAATAGTAGAGACACGATTCCTTATCCTAGGGGTACCCCTAATTTGAATTGATTTTAGGGTATATTTCTGTATGGCCTGAACTTTGACCAAAATAAACATCATGGCCAATCTTTTCGATCTATAACATCCTGACTCGAAATATACATCAAAATAAACAATTTGGCCAGATCCGACTTTTGATCGTTAACTTGGAAGGTCAAATGCGTTGACTAATGGTTAACGCGCCATGTCACTACCAACTCAACAAATTTCAATTAACTTTGTTTTTAATTTACACCAATTTCCATTTTCTTTCCTTTATCATTTTGAACGAAAAAAAATAAAACACAATTTCAATTTCGAGACAAAACCCAACAGACCCCCGGTAAGCGGTGTGCGTTTTGTCCCGAAATTGAAAATGTGTCTTTTTTAGTTCAAAATGATAAAGGAAAGAAAATGGAAATAGGTGTAAATTAAAAAAAATTGCTTGAAATTTGCTGAGTTGGTAGTGACATGGCGCGTTGACCGTTAGTCAACGCGTTTGACCGTCCAAGTTAACGGTCAAAAGTCAGATCTGGCCAAATTGTTTATTTTGATGTATATTTCGGGCCAGGATGTTATAGATCGAAAAGATTGGTCAGGATGTTTATTTTGGTCAAAGTTCAGGACATACAGAAATATTAAACCTTGATTTTATGGTTACGTGGACTATTGAAAGAGTATTTTACAACTTTGAGTTACATCATAAATAAGGTTAGAAATTGAATATGCGATAAGTTTGAGAATTATTGTTTGTTGAGCAGTGTAGATACCGAATCTATTATATATTTTTTTTCGAAATATGTAAACACATCGTGACTTTTTGTTAAAATTTGTACTAATCGGATATTTTCTTATTTATGAATTATTAAATTTAATTTTTGAAAGAGGACAACCCTACGATAAATTTTCCCACTTGGTAAACGTGTACTGGTCAGTGAGGAATCTCCGTCATTGACCATCTAATCATGCCTAGATAGGAGCATATAACAAAAAGTGCTAATTCCTAATGGTAAGATAGACAAGGGTGTTTCGTCTTTTATTAATTGTTGCATAGGGATAGCAATTTGAACCCGCCCCGCCAGGTAATACCCTACATGACCCGTGATGGGGTGGGTATTACCCGACCCACATTCGCGTGGGGCGGGGCATGGGTATCAACTTCCGACCCGCTCTGCCCCGCCCCGCCCCATTCTTAGCCCGTTCTAGGTCAATTTTTTTTACCTCATCCATTCATATATCTCCTATTTTGGATTTTATTCAACTAGTTAGACTTGATCTTTCAACTAAATAGACTCAATTACTTATTATATTATCACTATTATTCATTCATCAAGTCTTTTCCCATTCGTTTTATCATAAAAAGTAAAATTGTGCATATATTTTTCTCAAATAGCATGTAAAAGTGGGTCGACCCGTCCCACCTCGTACCCGCCCCGAACCGTACTAGCGTGAGGCGGGGCATGGATATTGAGGTACCCGCCCCACCCCGCCCCAGCCCGACCCATTGCCAATTTGCCATCACTATTGTTGCACCTCTGAATTCAATGACCAATCTGTTAAATCTTGCCGAGTGCAGTGACCATATTAGTAATTGACCCCTGATAGGCTGATACAAAAGGGGCTGAGATCAGGTGATTAAGGGGGTCCCCTTAGTCACATGACTAAGTGAATCTCAGCCACTCAACCTCATTAAAATCCAAGGGCTCCTATTAGTCCAATTTAATGAAGGGTAATGTAGTCATTCCATGTTATTAAGTTTTAATTATAAAAGAAATAAAAAAATTGCTCCGTCCCTTTGCGTCGCCTCCCCGCGCCGCCTTCGGTGAATTTTCGTAGCCATTATCCCATTCGGCGCCATTATTTCCATTCCCCAGAGAGAGAGTTCCCCTGGCGCCATTATTTCATTCCTCAGAGAGAGAGAGAGAGAGAGAGAGAGAGATATTTTGTACTGTTAGTATGCTTTGTATTGTTTGTCGGTTTATTTTGTAATGTTTGTACGCTTTGTTATTTTGTAATGTTTGTCGGGTTTTTTTTGTAATGTTTGTACGCTTTGTTATTTTGTAATGTTTGTCGGGTTTTTTGTAATGTTTGTAAACTTTGTTATTTTTGTGTATCGTGTTTATCATTTTTGTCAACCATGTTTGTAATGTTTTTTATGTCTAAAAAACACCCGGGTTGACTTTGGGAAGGAGCCCCTCTATATAGGGATGGAGCCTCCAAAGTCAACCCGGGTGTTTTTTCAGTTCGTATGGATTGTCGGTATAGTTTGTCATTTTTGTCCACCATGTTCGTACTGTTTGTATGTCTAAAAAACACCCGGGTTGACTTTGGGAAGGAGCCCCTCTATATAGGGATGGAGCCTCCAAAGTCAACCCGGGTGTTTTTTCAGTTCGTATGGATTGTCGGTATAGTTTGTCATTTTTGTCCACCATGTTCGTACTGTTTGTATGTCTAAACAACACCCGGGTTGACTTTGGGAATGAGCCCCTCTATATAGGGATGGAGCCTCCAAAGTCAACCCGGGTGTTTTTTCAGTTCGTATGGATTGTCGGTATAGTTTGTTATTTTTGTCCACCATGTTCGTACTGTTTGTATGTCTAAAAAACACCCGGGTTGACTTTGGGAAAGAGCCCCTCTATATAGGGATGGAGCCTCCAAAATCAACCCGGTTGTTTTTTCTTTTTGTATGGTTTGTATTGTTTGTCGGTCTAGTTTGTATTGTTTGTAGAGTTCATACGTTTGTAATGTTTGTAATCTGTTTGTATGTTTTGTCACTCTAATTTGTACTGTTCGTATGTTTGTATGGTTTGTACTGATTCTAAATCCAGTTTGTATCCTTCATAATTTTCCATAATACCCAAAATACTCCTGTCATTAATTAAATAGTCCTTCCCACTTTTTAACAATCAGATTGACGTGTCCATATCTAAGGGCTGGGAGACTAAGCCCCCTTGGTCACCGGATCCGCTCTCATACAAAAGTCCCAAAAGTACAGAGTAGACTGCCGACACAGCTGGCGGGCTGGCATTGATTTCAGCGGAAGGAATCGCGGGACCCACAAGGCAGGCAGGCAGTAGAAGTACGAAGAAGATCAGAATCGCCTAACTGAACGGCGGTAGGCCCCACCGTCCTCCCCGCATCCCACGTCGGACACTTCCTTCACTGCTACTTCTCCCTCCTTCCCTTTTGTGTCTGTCTTCTCCCCAATCTCGCCGCGCCAGCCTCAAACCCCACAGCGGCCACCGCACCGCCTCTCCACCTTCCTCCCCCCCTCCCACGGCCGCCGCCATGAAACCCAGCAGCCCCACCGCCGCCGTCGGCACCGCCTTACACTTAGTCAAAACCCCCAACTTCGTCAAATTCGCTGCCGTCGCTCTCCTCTCCCTCTCCGTCTCCCTCCTCTTCTACCACCACCCTTCCTTTCCCTCCGCCGCCTTCTCCGCATTCACCTTCGCCTCCAACTCCTCTCCCACCGCCGTCCCCGCCAATTCCACTTCTACCGCCCTCAACTCCACCTCCATCGCCGCCAACACCACTTCCATCGCGTCCAACTCCTCCTCCCCCTCCTCTGCTATACTCAAAGTGAAGAAACTTCCTCCATCAGTGGCGCAGAGGACGGGGATAGTGGACGAGAACGGGGCCATGACCGAAGACTTCGACGTCGGCGAGTTCGATCCCAGCTTGATGGAGGAGCTCAGGGATCTTGGGGGAGGACCAGAAGAAACAGAGAAGAGGAATGAACCGGAAATAGTCAAGTACGATAAGTTCAAACCGTGCGACGAAAGCAAAATCGATTACATTCCATGTTTGGACAACTTCGAAAGGCATTGCCCCGATTCAACTCTCGATTGCATCATCCCTATGCCAAATGGCTACCAGAAATCCCTCCCCTGGCCCAGGAGCCGAGACGAGGTAATGGATTTTTGGAGCTAATTATTGATTTCATGGTTTGTAATTTGAAGCCAATTAGGGTTTATCGTTGAGCTTGGCGTGGTTTTTGTTCAATTCCAACAGCTCTGGCTCCATAATGTGCCTGATACACTCCTGGTTCAAGATCAAGGCAGCCAGTATTCGATGTCGGTGAAAGATGATAAGATCAGTTTTCAGGATGGTGGAAGTGATCACTATTTGAACTTGGTTTCACAGGTAGTTTTCCTCGTTAAGAACAATGGACCACTTGTTGTTTGATTGAGTGATTGCTGAACTGAATTTTGAAATCTTCAGATGGTTCCTGAGATCGGTTTCGGCCATCAAACACGCGTTGCTTTAGACATTGGTTCAGGGATTGGGAGCTTTGCAGCGTCTTTGTTTAAGTACAATGTGGTTACACTTTCGATTGGGACGAAAGATGTTCATAAGAATCAGATTCAGTTCGCACTGGAGCGAGGCCTTCCTGCCATGGTTGCGGGGTTTGGTGCTCGTAGGTTGCCCTATGCGAGCCAAGCTTTTGACTTGATACGTTGTTCAGGATCTGGAATTGACTGGACTGTCGACAGTATGTTTCCTTCTCGAGATAGTTCATTATTAGGTTTTATTTCTCAGTTTTCTATGAAATGTTTGGTGATATCTTGTTTTTCTATTGGATATAATGAAGATGGAGTGTTGCTTCTGGAGGTGAACAGGTTGCTGAGGGCAGGACGATACTTCGTGTGGGAAGGGCCACAAGTTGATAGTAACCATGAGCTCAGTTTAGAGGACCAATGGAAAGGTGACATAGTCCTACTGTGGATCTCTAAAAGCTTATTCTCATATCAGTCTGTCATAAAGACGAGCATTCAAACAAACATTTTTCGACATTCTAATTGCTTATTGTCTATAATGGTTCAGAAATGGGGGATCTTGCTGCGAGAATCTGTTGGCAACTTGTGAAGAAGGAAGGTAATGTTGGTATATGGCGTAAGCCTTTGAACAACAGCTGCTATCTTGGCCGGGAGATTGGAGCGCAGCCACCACTGTGTAGTTCCAGCGAGGATCCAGACAATGTCTGGTATGGCTTGGACCTGACTTTGGTTTCACTACCTCAGTTAAAAAAATAATACTGCCTCACAGTGATGGTGTTATGTGTATTTTTGCAGGTATGTGAATATGACAGCATGCATAACTCCATTGCCAAAGGACGGGAGTGGAGGAAATGTTTCTGTGTGGCCAGCACGACTTCACTCTCCTCCAGATAGACTACAGAGTATTGAAATGGATGCAATGATATCGAGGAAGGAACTGATGAAGGCAGAATCAAGATACTGGAACGAGATAATAGGGAGTTACGTTAGAGCATTCCATTGGAAAGAGCAGAATTTTCGGAATGTGCTAGATATGAGGGCTGGATTCGGAGGGTACAGTACTTTTCTCTCTCTTGCTATTTGTCATATCATTGAAATTAGAACACTTCGAAACATTTTAGGGTTCTTCCACTCCAGTCTCAAGTCGTGTTCATTTGGCAGCTTTGCAGCAGCTTTGAACGACTTGGAACTGACTTCCTGGGTTATGAATGTTGTTCCTGTTAATGGCTTCAACACATTGCCTGTTATATATGACCGTGGACTCCTTGGGGTAATGCACGACTGGTATGCTCATTTTCCACCCCTTGTTTTTATACATATTCAAGTAAGAAAATGGATGAGATTAGTACAACTTTGCTATACGGATAAGGTGACCACAGAGGAAAAAAAGTTGGAAATATATAAAAGCTGTAGGCTTTTCCCAATCTCGATATTTTTCCCTGTTTCCTTTCTGGCCTGCGTAGCTTTCTGGATTTAATTTATCTCAAGACATTCAAAATCACAACTAATGATCCCTTCGTCTTCAACGCAGGTGTGAGCCATTCGACACTTACCCCAGATCGTATGACCTCATCCATGCAGCAGGTCTATTCTCCGACGAGAGGAAAAGGTCAGCAAAATCATTATGCCCTTTTGTTACTTATGCCTCTGGAACACATATCTGAACATCCCTACACAAATGTTTCCTTTCCATGCCTTAACCTATGCTCCAGGGCAAAGTGCAACTTCTCGACCATCTTGTTGGAGATGGACAGGATGCTACGACCTGGTGGAACTGTGTACATTCGAGACACCTTAGCAGTTATTGGGGAAATCCATGATGTAGCATCCGCAATGGGATGGGTGGTTATGGTTCATGACACGAGCGAAGGACCTCATGCGAGCTGGAAGTTCTTGGCGTGCGAGAAACGTATGCCCTGACCTCCCCCACTGTACCCTTTTTCTCATCTCAAGAGCTTCCCACAACTAATTGTGCAGTTGTCTTTATAGTCGTCGTTTGTAACTTGCTTCGTATAACAGTTGCCCCTGGATAAACTAACCTGCTATAGAGTACGCTTCCAGTTGATCATTTCAATACCAAGAGGAAAGTACTGTTGCTACTGAGAGACTAAGTTTGGCTTCTTCTCTTTTTCCATTGGTTGTATAGATAAAGAGTTCATCAAAAGACCTCAAAAGGGAAGAGGGCATGGGAAGAACAAGAAAGGCCGTAAAGAAAAGAAGGCTAAAACTGGGGACTCCCAATTGAGAGTATAGGGAAGTGCAGATTCATCAGAGCAGAAGCTGTTGCTTTTCCAAGGGATCCAAAGGTTTTTACATGCATAGTGTTTTTTAAACTGTACAGAACCCATGGGAGTTGGCTTCTATTTCTGCAGCAAAATCTGTTTTCTTTTCTCTGCTGGAAATTTATAGAAGTAATCGCTAAGCTAGTTAGGCCAATGTCCTTAAAATCAAGATTATACTCAATTTTCAATATTATAGTGTAATATCCTACGATTCAAATCCACCCATGATTTAGACTTTCCATGAAATCTCCATCCTGACAACATTGGGTCACAGGCGGTTCTGATAATAAGCGTCCTCTTGAGAGAACCAACCTAGGAAAAAGATGAATAACAAAAAACTGCATCGACTAACTGCTACCCACATTCACAATCTAAACTAGACCAACTGCCCCCCTACAGCTTCTTCTGCTTGGAGCAATCCCCGCGAGCTGCAGCAGTATTCACCTGTTTCCCAAGATATGCTTCGTATATCTCCACCACAAGCCTCGGATCTTTCTCCACCAGCTCCAAATACTCCTCCCGTGTAGTGAGCTTGTCCATGTTCTCCGTGATCAGAGACAACGAAGCTTGGAGCACATGCCTTGCGTTGTGCTGGTGAGCGAACGCATAGCTCATCAACGAGCTATCCCAGTTCAATCTGGAGATCAGAAAGGTCTCACAGTAACCTTTGAGATACTTGATCTGATACTTCTCTGCCAGCACCAAAAGGTCGCAGGCCATCTGTTCATCGAGGCGTGCTTCAGCTGTGTACATGTAGTTGACAAAGGTTCTGAGTGCATCGTATGATACGTCGGGGATTTTTATGGTTCCACTGATGCTCTCTTCCATTTGGTTCTCAAGCATTGCTCTGAATACAGGGGAGCGGCTTGCCTGTTCAGGTTAAAGAGCGTTAGAACTACTAAAAAGTACAGGGACAGCAAATTTCGCATAACTAAAGCCTCCATCCACTTTTCCCAATTCAGTGTTTCATGTTATGCCTGGGTTAGATTAAACCACATATGCTGAGTACTGATTCAACTGAAGTTAACAACCTATCCTATCTGCTTGAAATGTTTGGACAACAAGGTTGAGTACTAAACAAAAACCTTTAAGAAAGCTTCCACGCAGAAGGAAAATACACAGACCATAGTTTGACACAAAAAGGAATGACAAGACAGCTAAGTAATTTACCACATCAAAATTATCAATAAATTCTCACAGCTTCACACCGCATCTTAACATTTTTATAAATGGTACCTATGCAGAACTACATTGAATAAAAAAGTCGACCCAGAAGTACCATTTCACATTCAACAAATTGTTCCGAAAGTGGATGGAAGTCCATAAAACCAGGGAAAACTTCGGGAGGATGTGTTAAAGCAAGGGAATAATTCAGATTTCAGGAAACACAAGACAGAAGTTAAGAAGTTTAGTCAATACCCTCTTTCAATAGACAAGTTATTACAAGAGAATGAAAGACCCTACCCATGCCTAAAACACACAAGAGCAACCAGACCTTCAAGGAAACAACACAATAATTCAACTTGTTTCTTCCTTTCCTTTTCCAGGGGATTGACAAGTAGTTGAAGCTGAGACGTGAGTGATTAAAGCATGCCTCCTCCAAGTCCAACCAAGAATTCAAGCCATTTTCTGAATCCAAAATCAAGTTCAAGCGATTTCAACCTATCCAGTTTCAATTTTCCAACAAAAGTGGGGATTCTCATCTTAAAGATACCCATGAGAGCAAAGGAAATGGCCAAAAGATGATTCATATACTCTCTCGACAAATGCATTCAAAGTGGTGATTGGTGAACATTGATCTGGACGTGTCATCTTAAGTTCGACAAACTGAAACAACTCACAGAAAACAAGAAACAAAAACTTTAAGAGGATGATTCCAAGTTCAGATTTCAGTAAAAAAAATTACCAGCATTTGACAAGCTTATCGCCATGCCACCTTCCAATAAACAATTCAGTAGCAGTACAGGATGGAAGCCCTGCAAACTGCAAAGTGTCTATAACAAGCAAGAACAACCAGACCTTCCACGAAACAACACATTTCAGTCAACCAAAATACCTAAAGCCCTTTACCAACTCCAACATCATGCTTATGCTGTATATTTCCAGTTTATGGGAGAGCATTCCACCTAGATTTTTATGCAATGCCAAGCTAATTAGTTTCCGTTTTTTTCCATCTAAAAGGTGCCCTAAAAGAAACGGAAATGGAAGCGTTTCTCTTTTAATTAAGACTTAGGGAGGCAGGATGTCACTGACCAGAACGGCCTTGTGAGCAGGGACGGGCAACGGAGACGAGCAATCGGGGCCTTGGTCGTCGGAGGCGACCAAGACGACGTCGGAGAATTTGCCGTCGAAGTGGTTCTGACCGACAGGGGAGCAGAATTTCAAGAAGGCGATCTTAGCCTTGAGATCGTCGATCTCTTTCTTCAACTCTTGCTCGGTCTCGGTTGCCTCGTCGTAGCACTCCTTGCAGGTTCCGGCGTCGATCGAGTCGTAATCTTCCTTGCACGAGAGGCATCGCATCGTCTCCGAGTCGGAATCATCGGTGTCCGACTCGACAGTCGGCCGGCGGTGAGCGTTCATTGATGAAGGTTGTTCTGTTGTTTCCCCGTCTGATATTTTTCCGCGTAGGTAGGTGTTCTATGACTATATTATGTTTCTGACTTTCTGTTGGATGGGAACGAGATGCCGTGCTAGACCTTTAGGATATTTTGGTTGCAGGATTTCGGGTAGTTATCATTTACCTTGTTAAACCGGTTTATATTATTATTATTATTATTATGTCGGTATGGCAAGATCCGACCAATAGTAAAATTAGTTTATGTCAATTTACGTTTGTTTTAGAAAATTATATAAGGAAGTGGGAAATCATTAATTCTTAATGAATTAGTAAATTGCAAGTTTGGCCACTGAAATTATAAAAAGTTCATGTTTGGTCACTAAAAGAACTTTATTCCACTCATAGCCACTGAAAGTGGTTAACGTTTCACGTTTGGTTACTCTTTGTTAGTCTCCGTCTACCTCCGCTAACGAAGTCTGCTATATGTTGACGTGACTAACAATATCGCCCAATCGCCTTGATTTAACCCGGAAAAAAGAGACACAACTCGCCACGTCATTTTTACCCGCCATATCATATTCCCTCAACCCAACCCATGATACCATCAGACCTAAGAACAACCAAACCAAATTAAAAATTTGTAAAACAATCAAGATGAAAAAGAGGGGTCATGCATCAAGATGTCAATGGTCCCTACCATGCGAATCTACTAGAGATGTCATTTTCACTTGCAATCTCAAGAAGTCTGGCTCGACTTATTGTGGAATGTGACTCTGAAGTGGCGATCTGACAAAATAACCAAGGAGCGGGGGTGGATTCGCTGGGCGGGACCCTGCTTTGAGAAGGTTGTTAGTTACTTGGGTCTTTTTTTTTGTCATAGATAGGTGTACAAAGACATAGGTAGGTGTACAATGCAGTATGCTTACACATATGTAAAAAATCAAATAATCAAATGCGGCGGTCGATAACTAATCAATCCGCCGATAAAAGAGCCTTTTTAACCACTAAATGGGCAGCTCTGTCAGTATCCTAAGAAATGCAACAAAGGATACAAGCGGGTACATAACACACGCCAAAGCTAGAGAAGTCGGATGATAGTTCAGCCTTGCTGATAGCAAAAGCAGAGCAACCATTCCACTTGCCACGTGCATGCCGAATCGTCAACAATTGTTTGGCAACACAGATATGCGCCACAAATGAAGCACTTTGGTAGGCCCGTGCCAACTTTCATTGTTGAGAAGCACAATGGATGAAAACTACGTGCCCCTGCAAAAACAAACAAACACACAAGTGCCCATGCTAAAGGACAAAACTAAGCTCCACTGAATGGACTTAAACAAGCCATTGAGGCTTAGCCGGATATTACGAATCCAACGCAAACAATGTCACAAGAAAAACAAGTTTATTTTTGTATTTAATTTTTTTAATTAATGAAAAGTTGATATATACGAACAGTTAAGGAAAGAAAAATAGTTACTTGGGTCTTTTCCTCAATGTATAGTTTGTAGGGCAATTTCGCGGAATGCCAACTATGCTGCCTATAGAGTGACATGTAACATCCCTATTGTTTTTCTCTTTAGAGTTAGCTTACTTTGATTTTTTGTACGATGGTTTCACTATGGTGTTCCCTTGGGGAAATTTTTGGTTGGGTAGAGGTTTTCTCTAACTTTTATCTCTTGTCATTACTTGGTAAAAAAAACATTGATCATGACATGTAGGATTACATTTTTGTCCAAACTCATGGGTATTTGCTATCGCTTTCAATTGAGTTGGTATGAAATCCAAATATGGGTAGAGTTTTATGGGCTTATACATGGATTTGTACACATACCATATGCAAATATAGTTTGGTACCTAAAATTAATATATCTTTAGTACTACTACCTAATATATTTTTATATAAGTCCAAAAAATATTGATGAAAATTCTTATTTTAGTACCTAAAATTTTGTGTATTATATTTTGATACCTAATTTTTTTTTGTGGTTGATCAAAATTTATTAGACTTCAGTCCCATTGTAACCAAGGGTCCTCTCAAATGTACCAATCTTTACAATCATTCCAACCAAATAGGAATGGGTTAGGGTGATTACTTAATTTTTAGTAATCACGGTGGCAACCTCTTTATATACCATTTGATTAATTATTTTCCCTTCTTTTTTAATCTTAAGGTCAATATTCTTTTAGGGTAATTTTGGAAACTAAGTGACCACACCTGATTATTCTATATAATCTACCCAAACCCTAGTTCTATCCTCCATCCCGCCAAACCCGTCGCAGCCGCCTCCACGTACCACTCTCGTTGCACCGTCGGCAGCAGCCCCGACCACCCTCGGCCACCGCAGCGGCCTCCCTCCCCTCTGTTCCGGTACTCTTTCTCTCTCTCTCCAGCTTCTCTATCTCCCGCTGCTCTCTTTCTTTCTCTCTACCATCACAACGTACATGCCAAAGATATGATTTTGGCGGACAGTAGCAGCCATATACAACCATAATAGACATAAAAACCTAGATTTATTAGTAATTTTTTGTTTATTGATTCAATGTGCAGTGGTATTGGTTACTATATGCAATGGTATAGATTGTTTATATTGGTAGTTTTCGTGTAATGGTATAGATTTATTTCTACAATGGTATTGATTGTTTATGGTATAGATCGTTTATATTGGTAGTTTTCGTGCAATGGTATAGATTTATTTCTACAATGGTATTGATTGTTTATGGTATAGATTGTTTATATTGGTAGTTTTCGTGTAATGGTATAGATTTATTTCTGCAATGGTAGTTTTCGTGTATTGGTATAGATTTATTTCTGCAATGGTATTGATGTTTTTCAAAGTGATAGTGTTTGTCTAATGGATTAGTACTGATTTCGTGTTTTTTTTTTTTGCAAAATGATTGAGAAAAATATAGAAAGAAAATCTGGCTGGAGATTACGGAAGTGAGAGAAAGAGAGAATTTTAATTAATAGATTTTTGTAACTACCTAAAATATAATTTATTAAAAATTAATTAATATAATTTATTTTTCCATACCCAATTTACCAAAGTAGTAATCATCGTAACGTGTCCCAACCAAATAACATAAGAGGAAAACCACCACACCTAAGGCTGCTATTTGGTCAGTTATCGATTTCACCGGTCATCAGATACCCGGTTAACGGTACACCGGAATTGGCCAAGAGGCATCTATTGTCCAATACCACTTTCCATCCGGTATACCGGCTAACCGGATAGTCGGTTACTGGTCAATAGTCTGTTACACCGACAACACAAGGCCGAACGACGACAGTCAGAGAAATGGAGGAAGAAGAGTTGGCCAGGAAGGGAGCTTGGAGGTCGGGGGAGAACCCCAGCGATGCTGCTATATATCGGCGAAGGAAGCACTAGATCAACGCGAACCAGGCTGGGATTGGTTCGGGTCGGAGATGTCGTCACGCTGTGGGAGTTGTTGGGGTCGTCTATCAGAAGGGCTGATTTCTACTTCGCGATGATTTTGATTAGAGATTCAGAGTTGGGACTTATTCTTGGTGAGGTAGCCGAGATATTCACTCCCAAAGCTCCAATCGTCACACGTCGGCGGGAGTTGGGTTGGGACCAACGACGACGGCGGGGAGTTGGCTAATAGAGGACGAACCTGCCACGTGCCGGATCTGGACATTCAGTGGCCCATATTATAAGAACGATGACATTAATTAAGCGCTAGAACAGGACATTCTCAAACAAGGATACAAGGCTCTTGCCGCCGGATCCGTGAAGAAGGCAATGACAGGGGCGACGAGGGAGCTTCCAGGATGTGTGCCGACGCGGAGGCAGATGTTGGTGTGCGAGTAGTTGGAGATGTTGCTTTAATGGCTGGGTCACATCCTGTTGATTTTCCATTGGTAGAGAAGAGGAGCGATGACAGGGGAAGAAGAGAGAGAGAGATTTATTTATTATTATATATATAAACCTGATGCTGGGTTACTGTTGCCTAAACAACGATTAGGAATGAACTAAATAGGAAAATGGACATTGTTAGTCTGGAAATGAGTAATTATTGGGCTGAAACTAAATAGAAGGTAATGATTGCATAAAATATTACAATTTGATATCTCAAATTTAATTAAATCACAACTTTAATGTACATTTTACATTTTGATACCTCAAAATCAAATTTAATTAACTTACAATTGATACCCCAAATTTAATTAAATCACAATTTAGTCACTATAATGTACATTTTACATTTTGATACCCCAACTAAAAAAAATTGGTCAAGACCCTTCCATTATCTACTTCCTCTTCGTTTCATTTTTCACTCGCCGTCCATAACCCTTTCTTTATTTCTTTCTTTGCCTTCGTCGTCTAACCCAAATTAGTATACTATTTATACCTATTCTAATCACAAGTATGAACGAGTCCATACACGACTGACCAACAATATAGAGAATTAATATTTAAACCATGAACCACTAATTTTTTTAGCTCAATGTCGAGTCCAATTAAAAAAACATATATGATCATTAATTATTAGAAAGTAGTCATTTCCACTACGGGATTTGAAGGCATGAAATTTTAAGCGAATTCTAGTTTGTATTCCTTTTGATTGTCTCTAGAATTTTTCTTTACACCCGGGCTAGAATTTTCAAAAATTATAAATGGAATTTTCAACAATTAGAACATGTAAAATAAATAGTTTCCTATTTTCTTTCAAAAAGTAAATAATTATCATCTTAAATACATCACCATAAAAGGAATCAAGCCTCAACTATGTAAATTATAGTTTGGTACATAAACTTAATAAATAATTAGGTTTATAACCTAAATTTATTAGTTTTGCATATATGTCCTCAAAATAGTGATGGAACAACACATTTTAGTACCTAAAATTTTTGTGTATTACATTTTAATACCTAAACTTTTGAAGTTCTACAAATAGGTCTAATTTTTGTATGTGTAATTAAAACACACTCGAATAAATGGGTATCCATACCCACTCATACACATTTAGATTATAAAAGTAAATATTCATACCCTACCCAAACCCATCTACAAACTTCCAAACCCATATATACGTCACTCATACCCTACCCATAATCAATTGGTCTACTTGGGTTTAGGTAAATATCATGTATTAGCCAAAAA